TATATATTAACAATGTACTAGTGTTTCCCCCCTTAAGATCATACATATTATATGGATGGTATGTTAATTGTTTATCCATTCTAAATGTGATAAATAAACTTAAGCATCTTTACTGTTGACATGTTGTTTATCAGTAGTATATTGTTGTGAAGTAACTTCATCACCTAAAAAAAACCATTCACTGACATATTATGTATTGAAATATGTCACAGTTTTACAAATGTTAACAAATATTGTCGGAACAAAACTAAAGTGGTTGGAATGAATAGAAGACGTTTGTTGCCAGGTTGTTTCTTTTAGCAATTTTTCCTATGACATTGGAGAAGGATGATGTGATGAGAAAATAATGTCAAAATAAGTTTGTTGTGACTTTCTTTAATCTATATTCACCTTAAAGAGATAGTTTTTAAAAATACCTAACAATATACTATTTATTTGATTGTAGCATGATGTGTGCTACTGATGTCAACAGATATAAGTAGTGTGTTCATAGTTGGAAGCATGAGTCAATCGAAGCTAGACCACTAAGGAAAACCTGGAAGCACTGGACGGCCATTTCGTTCTATTGTGGGACTCCTCAGCAGTGAGCATTCACGAAGGTCTCGCGCCAGATCACAAAACTGATAGACCACTGATCCGGCATCCCATCGTGTTTATGTCTAACCTCAACCGTTCACCAGTGAGTTGATGTCTCACAACAGACGTGGTTTGAACTCCACTGGTCACTGATTCTCACTAGAATTCCCGATGGTCTACCTTCAATTCACTCATGCTTTCAACTATAAAAATACTAAATCTCTACAAAACCCATTCTGATAATAAGTAGTATCTAACATCAATATAGAAAGTGAAATGAGTGGTGGTAAAATTTCAAGAAGATTGAAGAAAAAAGAATGAGAATAGAGAATGATTGGTGTGTAAACGAAGGAACAATGAAATCTGAGAGGAATGATGGACATTTTTCAAATGAATTATTCACTGTATGGTTCTCAGAATACATTTGATTGTCCCCACTCGCATTGTTGATCACTACACAATTATTAAGTGTTATTGACTGTCAAAAATATAATTTACAATATATAGTAAAATATAAGCTTCTAATACACTTACTAGATCAATAATCGCACAAACATAGATTGGATCTGATTATTATATCACTAGTATTCTTCACATAACTAATACTAAACATAGTTGAAAGCGTGATTCAATTGAAGCTAGACCACCATGGAAAACCTGGAAACCCTGTACGGCCGTTTCATTCTATTATGGGACTCCTCACCAGTAATACTAAACAGTATACAGTTGATATTTTATAGAGTTGTATATTTGTTTGTCATTGTACACTAAATAGTCAGATTCTATTAGATAGACTAAACTGAAAATGATTCAAGAAATACCCAATGAAGAGTGAATTTAAGTAAAACAAATTATGGAAATCTAGTTGTTAAGTGTACTTGTGCAAAATTTCAAGGTTTTAGTTTCGAGTTTCATGTGAGTAACCGTGAATGTGTGCTACTCAACAGTCCCATATTGAAATAAAGTGGTTGTTTAATGCTTCCATGATTTCAATTAAGAATAATGATAATCTTAGATTGACTCGTGAATTCGTGTGTGATATTGCACGTTAGTTTGAATGTACATCATATGTCGATAGGAAGTTGTGAATGTAATACTTACGGTATATAATATGCTGTTAACTTTCTTCATTAATTACCATGTAAGACATCATTCGATACTTTCCCATCAAATCATGGTTTTAAGAAAATATGTATCTATTTAACTTCTATTGACGTGTCCATATATACATTGTAAAAATGCTCTGAGTAGCCTATATTCGTTAGTATTGTGGTGTTGTCTACTTATATCCATATAAGTAGTATATGGTGTGGGTTAGACATAGAATGTATTTTCGCAGAAGACCGATGAGGAAAGAACTGAAATGAAGTGCAATCGTTTGGAAAATGGATGAGCAATGGAATTAGAGAAGAAACAGTGAAGATCGAGACTATTGGTTGTTAATTTGCAAATTGACTGTTCATTGTTTGGTTATCAGAATTTATCGAGATAGTCTGTAATCTTTGCTTAAATACATTCGATTGTCCCCAACTAGTGTTTTGTTCACTACATTTGGTGTCGCTGCCAACCAGGAGGAGGAAGGGTGCTGTTCTGCGGACGCCGCTGCGGGTCTGGAGTGGAGGTGCTAGTTGGGGCAGTCTGGTGAGGAGAGGTGGCGTCGAGTGGAGTGTTCTGGCGGGGCGTCGTTGGCTGTAGCGGGTGCTGTCGACGGAGAGGAGCAGTGGGACGTGCGGCTGCTGGGCGGACATCGGATGTAGATGGCTCAGCAGGCCGGTGGAGTACGGGTGTTGAACGTCCCAGGTGCCGGGTGGACGCGGATGTTGGTGCCCCGGCAGGTCGACGGAGCTATGGAGGTCAGCGCGCCGCAGACTCGACATTCTGACGGAGAGTTTGGCACAGACTGCAGTGGAAGAAGATAGCGGCGTGGCGAGCAGAACCACCGCATGAACGAATGCTTTAAAGGGGGGACGAGTGTGGTGTTGTCTACTTATATCCATATAAGTAGTATATGGTGTGGGTCAGACATAGAATGTATTTTCGCAGAAGACCGATGAGGAAAGAACTGAAATGAAGCGCAATCGTTTGGAAAATGCATGAGCAATGGAATAATTGAAGAAACAGTGAAGATTGAAACAATTGGTTATTAATTTGCTAATTGACTGTTCATTGTTTGGTTATCAGAATTTACCGAGATAGTCTGTAATCTTTGCTTAAATACATTCGATTGTCCCCAACTAGTGTTTTGTTCGCTACAGTATGTTGTCAATGTATTGGAACTTCAGGTTTGTGGCATCATCTGAGCATATGTTATTTATTCTACCTGTAAGACATGTAAAAAGACTTGTTTGTTGTTGGAATGGTGTAAAATTGTGTAAGTGTGTGTTTCAACATATACAGGAGTGGTTCTTATAACACACTTCTACTTGACAATTAGACAATGAATTTCAATATTGCTCAATGAAAAATTATGACGATAAGGAGAGGGGTAGAATGTTTTTCAATATTTAGAGATGTTCACTTGAATGATTACAAATTAGTTCGAATGAATCGGATGTGTGTATGTGAATATTGTAAAGTGATGGATGTGGTCAACATGATGAAGTGACTTTTATTATGGAATGATTGTAGTTAAGGATTTGAGATACTAGTTTCATTTTAGTGATAGTAGTAAATGATACATCACTGTGTATCCATAGGTTTGGATGATAAATGTTTATGCATTGATAGGGTAAGTACAAGTGTATAATATACTTTCGTATTTTGAAAATTGTATAAGTTTTCATGTCATTGTGATTGATTGTGAGCAGTTTCATGAAGTGTGTTAGACTTCTGATTACAAAATTAAGACTGATCTCAATCGGGTTATTTGAATGTGATGAAATGACAGATTTCAGCAATCAGTTACTGCATGCAATATTGGAACATCTCGATTTGACTACCCCAGACGCTTTTTTTCAAACTACCTCTATCTCGGCAGTGTTCACTAATGTCATCTTCATTCAAACTATTCATTTAAAAATCTTTAACTATAAAAATATTCGAAAGAGCTTTACTATTTCAATTAATACACTAATATCACCAACTAAATTTAAATATGATGACATTAGAAAATCATGTTTCATTAAATTACTACGTAGTTCAAATATTGAACTATTGTAAAGTGCTCGTTGAAGATCTCATGGTAGTTTGAATCTCTATTTCGTTCAATTATCGAACTTACCAGAAGTGCGCTCTAAGAATCTCGCCTGGGATCAAACTGAGGATCTTCACGTTTCAGAGTGAACGCTTTGTCATTATACTTAAGTTCTTCAGTCATCTCATTTTTAACGAACTAACATGCACGTCATTGAGAACGTGTTAAAGGGGGAATGGAGTAATAATAATAATAATAGAATTATAATAATAATAATAAGATCATGATAACGATAATGATAAGACGTACTTCTTTTGTACGCATAGTTCTGGTTTGAGCTCATGGATGGTAAAACCTTCCACTATTTTTAGGAGTTTGATATGAAGAAACCTAGGTAAATTTGAATGAATCATATAAACGACCTTAAAATCAGACTATGGATCCGTAGAATGATTACACTCGATTAGGTGTTCAAGTTTAGAATTCCTAACTGCTTTCTTTTCACCCTTGTAGAACCAAACTGGTATATGTTCTCGTATCCGAGTTAAAATCGAGCACTGGCTACGGCCGATGTACCTTGCTCCACAAGAGCAGGTGAACTGGTCGATGCACATAGAGGCGACCAAACGCGGGAGCTCATCTTTTATGGATACAGAAAATAAGTTCTTACTAGTTAAAGTTATTCGCAATTTAGCAGCATTAAATCTCCTTTTAATCGTTGTTGTTAAACAATTTTTAATTACGTCTGAAGTTCGATCAACTTTAAATTTCAGACATATATAAAAGTGTTTCTTTGGGACGAAATAACTAGGTTTCCTGTCGACGCTACTTCTATTTATATTCTTCTCTATGAACCGGTCTGGGTAGCCATTTTTCATCAAGGTTTTCTTAAGGAACGCGAGTTTTTACATTGCATAGAGGTAATAGGAAATTATCAGATTCCAGCGGAGGAAGAAAACAGTAAAAAATTGCTGGAAGTGAATATGGCAAACATTGGGGAAAGAATTCAACTGAGTCACAAAGCAACCCTTTCATTTGTAATCGTGAAAGCCAAAGAAGAAGTAGCAGACCAAAGAACAAATTGTAATGAGAAATCGAAACAGATTGTAGTAGAATGAGCAACATCTGAATAGAACTATAAAAGAAGGCTGAGGACAAAGTGGGTTGAAGAATAATTGTCGGCGAACTATGTTCCGTTGGAAGTAACAGGTGTAAGTAAGTAAATAATTGGAAATAATTGCATGATGTAATCATATGTTTTCAAATGGTTTTCTTTATTTTACTCAATCAGATCATCGAAATATTCAACATCTGAGATGTTCAACAATCGGATGAAACAGAAATCCATTGCTTCCGAGTTTTTATTGATTGTCTCATTTCCATCGCTTCATGTTCATATAACCATTTACAATGTGTTTGATATTAACCCTTCGACTATGACCACTGAATGCATTTCTTCTTTTCATATCACTATTATTGTTATTACTATGTAAACTAGACAAATGAATTTTTTTTATTATGGATTATTTTATTCACTTGGGAAATTAACACTAGTTTACAATTTCAATGTAATAAACCTATTTCTATTGGATTACATAACATACCACATCAGTTGTAGTATATAATTACTGAATTCACTTTGGAAATATGTGATAACATACTGGGGGAGAAAGGGTATATCATTTTGTGATATCATACTTCTCATTGATTGATTCGAAATAGAACATTATCTGCTTTGTTTTCAATTCATGTTTCCCTAGTTTATTGTATTAAGTAACTTTGATAGGTCAACTGCAATCTGTTTCAATGTGTCAATAAAAGAGAGGCGAAGTGAACTATTGAGATCAGACGAAGTTATTGTTCCGAGGAGAAGTCGAGATTGTAATACAACAGCTTGGTTTCCAAATGTTAACTGTACACTTCAGAGTACATAACGAATAATAGACAACTATTCAATATGAAGAAATGTTCAGTGGAGTAATCTGAATAAAATTAAATTTCCAACGAACTTGTTTGTTCATGAGAACTGCGATTTATTAGTGAAAGAGTACATTTAGAAAATTGAACAGTTTCCCTGAACTGTTATACCACTTAATAGTTGAATACATGAGTCAAGGAATGCTTGAACATCATGGATATTCTGGAAACACTGGACGGCCGGTCGAACTTTAATGATGATGATGATGATGATGATGATGATGATGATGATGATGATGATGATGATGATGATGATGATGATGATGATGATGATGATGATGATGATGATGATGATGATGATTTGGATGATGATGATGATGATGATGATGATGATGATGATGATGATGATGATGATGATGA